ACTGATGTATTTCTTATTAAAAAGACTATTCCCGAAGCTATCTGAGGAGTAGCTTGTGGTTGCAGGAGGCCATCGCGAGCTTATTCCGATGCCTAGATAAGTGTCTCTTGCTCAATTTTCAAATGGGCTGCCAGTGTTGCTCTGTTGGTTTTGAGCTTCACGGGGCTAAAAATACTGTCGCTTCCTTTGACGTCAACGTCTGAAATTTTGCTTTGGCAGTTGGGCCATGCCGTATCTTCTCCATAATGGGCCGCCATCTGGCCCTCTGTGTCAGTACTTCCGTTTTGTTCTAGAGGTGCATTAATATTTAGCAGCACTTACAGAACCACAGCCCTGTTTGGCATGAATTAAGGGAGAGGGACGGTGCACCTCTTTTTCATGTTCGTGCCTCCCCTCCTAACGGGGATGTGCAGATCCGGGCCGAGCTTGGTGTGGCCCTCACTGAGGTGTGGCAAGCCGAAGTGACACGCGCCTCCCATCAGCTTGCTTTTCATCTGAGCGGTCCTTTGCGAACCTGTTGTGCTTGTGATTTACAGCTTGGTGATGAAATATACAAAAAGGGACGTCAGGAGATGGGAGCGATTTTGGCCCTTTAAGACCGATTCTCTGTTGTCTTGGTTGCTTCATGCTTTTTAGTACCTGTTACACAGCAGCCCAGATACTTAACAGCATTTGGGTGCAGAAGAACTACCCAGCATTTGCCCAATTAAGCCCTGAGAATAAATTAGCAAGAAACATTAATTACCAAGTCGACCAGTCTTGGTTCTGAATGGCTGGGGTGTGGCCAGATATTAATTCCAACTCATCTCTTAATGGCTCGATCAGATCATTATCAGCTTAGTTGCTGACACTTTAAAGAGATCAAGAGAATATGCAGAACCTCCAGGGCCTCCTGGACTGTGATCAGACAGTTTTTGTTTAAAAAATACAGGGAAAGTTAAGACTGCGGACTATGAGATCCATTGCAGCAGATTTTGACCCACAGTCTTGTGTTGTGTATAATTATTTCAGAGTTCAGTTTATTTGTCACATGCACAAGTGCAATGAAAGGTTTATTTGTATGTGTACTCCAATACAATGACATTAAGGAAACACCAACTTAAAAACAGAACAACAACAGCAGCAAAAACAAAGTAAAATAAGACTCAGCCTAAATAAAACTTCAAGGGTGAGTCAGTGGTAGAAATAAAATTCAATAATCTGACAGCTTGCTGGAAGAAGCTGTGTCAGAATCTGAAGGTACGTGCCTTCATCAAAGAAACAAATCTAGTCAATTGTATTTTTATTTTGACAAATTGGCTTGTTGTAAACCTGTCACGGACATCTAAAAGGGACTAACCGTGGGGAACAGGAGAGCGGAAAAAGACCCATATGCGTAGCGGCGAGACGGGAAAAAGGCCCGGGCTCATTAGTGCTAAGAGTTTAGGAATGCCGTATAGAAACCTGTGCCCTCAGGGAGCGGACGTGGGGCGCCCTGGTGCTAGGCGGGTCTCAGGACATCCGAACGTCAATACTGAGCGAGGACAGAGTACAAGACCCGGAAATATATAGCCCAAGGGAAAGAGAGGGACAGGAAGGACAGCAGACCGGAAACTAGGGACAGGACAGAGAAGGAGCGCCCTCTGGCTGCAGAAGGCGTGACAAAACCCTTCAGTTTGTGAAACCTAGAAGATATTCTCCTTCTATGCAATGGGGTCTTTCATTCTTCCAAAAACGTTTGTGTTCTGCACTTGGAAGGCCCTTCAGTACTGAAACCTCTGTGTTCTGTACTGCACAGCCCTTTTCTGTTTTACAATTTTCTCATCTCTCTGCCCATCTCCATTCCTCTCCCATTCCCTCTCTACCAGTCAGGTGCTTTATCTCAGTTTAGAAAGCTCTTGTCCTCCCCTTGTCAATTAGAATTAAGGGCAATTATCTTTTGCTTAGCAACCAGTGCAATAGTCATTAGTGTTCTAAAGCAGTGCTTTCACCTGGCACTGTGGTGTAAAAAGATTTTCTTCAGTCCAGAGGCTCAACTCTGTTGTGGGGGGGGGGGGGTAGAATGACAGTAGAATGGCATCCCCAGTGTACTGATGGATGTTTATTCGTCAGGTTTACATTATTGTAAAATCAATTAAATTCAATTTATTTTTATATAGCGCCTTTCACAACAAGGTTGCCCCAAGGCGCTTAACAATACAATTGACGATACATGTTGTGAATACAGAACAGAAGACCAGGAGACAACGGAGGAGAGGAACCAAAAACTCCTTAGTAAGGAGAGAAAAAACCTCTAAGGGTCCCAGGTCAACTGGTTGCCCAGCCCCTTTGAGCATGCTAACATTATAGAATTTAAAACAGGAAATGATGAAGGTATTAATCCATCCAACCATCATGTCTTCTATGTGTTAGTACTCCATGCAGATTTCTGTAGACCAGTAAATTCCTCCAAAATGATAGCTATATCCACGATATCCCTTTTGGATCCATGGCAGTGGTGCAGCATCCAACTCAGATGGTACCCAGCCCGGGCATCATCTGGACATGTGGGGAGGAGAATAGGATAGTTTGGTCAGAAAAGATGTATCTATCTGGTGGGCCAACATAGAGACACACAATGGCATGTACAGCAGCACCAGCAGCCATGGGTTGCAGCAGGCTATAATGTAAGGTGTGAGTAGGCTAGGCTGAAGTAATAGGTCTTCAGTCTGGATTTGAATACTGAGATTGACTCGGCATCCCGAATATGGGGTGGGAGACTGTTCCATAAGCTAGGGGCCCTGTAACTAAAGTGTAATTAATGGTTTTACCACTGTTTTTTTATTGATGCGTGGAATATGAAGAAGACCTGCATTCTGTTATCTAAGCAGGTGACTTGGATGGTAAACATGATTATTAAATAGACAGATGAGAGCTCTCTCAGGATAGACCTCTGAGAGCCTTGTAAGTAAGTCGAAGGATTTTGAAGTCGACCCTGTACCTGACAGGAAATTCCAAACACGTTTCAATAGTGGACTCTCAGATCTATGCAGCTTAGAATGTAACGACAGAGTGTTTCTAATTACACCCGATTTGCTCTTAACACCGATGTAATTATTTCACTTTGGAGGATGCTCATAATTTTTATTCTGTCATTTTGTTTCATCACTGCCAGGACTTAAATAAGCAGTTGAATGGTTCTGTTCCAGAGTCACTCCCTGCATTATCTACACCTGCTTTTGGAAATGGGTTTCCAGGAAGTGAGCCTTAGCAGTTCTGCTGGGTCCTTTAACTAAACAACTTTGCTCTGGGTCGGCTCATTTGCATGAACCATTTGCTGTGGTTTTAATATTCAGGCCCTTCTCCTTTTGCAATAAAGGCGATATTAAATATTCATGCCCATCATTCTCTTTCTTGTAGACTCAAGGCTGTGAGATTTGCATCCAGCCTCCGATGATGCTAGGAAGGAAAAACACAGGAGTTCCCCAGCAAAGCACTGGCAGAAGACACTGTGGAAACTCTCTGAGCTCTTTAGCATTCTCAGTGTTTGCATTCAGATCATTTGCTTTCCCCCAAAACAGGGATCAGCCTTCAGAGACAGCAAGTGTTTTGAGCTGACTAATGGCAAAATGTTTTCAGTGACACTTTTTTTTTCATGGTCATTTTTTGAAAGGCGTAGGCGACAGTCGTGAGGAAGAATAAGTGACTTGTCAAAGTTGTCAGTGTGTAGGATGTTTCCGATGAAAAAAAAATGGCAAAGGGTTACAACTTCTGAGGTGGTGGTGGGGGAGTGTGGATACAGAGGAAAGTGTAGGTGAGGGCTCAGAGTTGTGAACAAAAGAAACCGAGCCATGAATGGGACTGCACTTCTGTCTCATCGTGGAAGAGGAACATGGGATTTTTTTCACTGCAGTGGCACCTTCGTCTGTGTACCTGCATACAATGATGTCACTCTGCTGTGTTCGTTTTTTTGTAAGAGGCCTTTGCCTTCAGCATAGAGGATTTGCCGATTGTGGGAACTGAGCAGCTCAGGCACGCACATCACAAGGTTTCTCTCCAGATAAGGTTGCAAAACCAGAGGTTTTCATTGCCTGATTGGGACATTTTCAAGTTTTGGGTTGGCTTATGAAATGCGATAGTTAGAAGGTATCTTATAACATGTTCAAGAGCTGAAAGGAATTAAAGGGTACAAATGAATCCTAACATTACGTCAGTTAAAGGGTTTGATTGCACACCTCAGATTTTTTCAGTGAGAAAATACATTTACATGTAGTGAAAAGCAGAACATGACCTCTAATAGCCTGCTACATGAACTGTATTCATTTTACAGCTGTATAATGTGTAAACAGCATTAACTACAAAAATCATTCATGGCCTGAGATTTATTTCTCTTAACTAAATTAGATCTTGTTGTTGTAATAACTCTAAACCACTTTCACTGCATGTCTTTTGACGTACCTATTAAAAAACTGTTAAAATATTTAATTCCAAGGGGGTGGATGATGTGCTAAATTATTAAAATGAAAAGAGAAAATTCAGAATGCAGTGCATAATTTGAAGCTTTACCCAGTCTATTGATGAAAAACTATAATTGGTTTGTATTTTTGTAGATAGGGACTCAATTATTTAGTTTCCTTTAATAAAAATGTGTATGGATTAATTATTTAAAAACATGGTATTGTAGCCTGTCTCTTTGCTTAAGGAATAACAGTTTCATTTATAAAGAAATTGCTTAAAGTGGAACAGGGGAAAATCTGTTTAAAAATAACTACGTGGACAAATTAATAACCAAACAGAGCAATGCTTGCCAAACGCAGTGTTGTGAAGTCGTTTGCTAGCCTCTGCTAATTAAATCATGTGAATTGCCTTAATGCATGCAGCTTGAACCAGCGTCCAAGATGAACCTTTACCAGCTGAGAAGACGGAGCATGTGTGTGAATGCGAATGTGCGCGCTTTTAAAGAATTGGACCATCACATCGCACAAGGTGACGAGGCGAGTTCAGTGATGCTTACAAAGACTTTCTTTTTAAAGTATTTTCCCCAGGAGCCGCTGTCACTGCAGTAGATTGGACTTCTCTCCGATCCCACCTCCCTCTCCAAGTCCCCCGTCGATCTGCACCGGCTGTCCGCCAGAGAAGGGGGCGGAACCGGCGCTGCCTTGCCCGTTCCTGTGCGACCTCTCATTCCGGTGCCGTAGAAATGTTAGAGGGAGCGCAAATGAGCAGTTCTGTCTTCCTCGGCTACTGCTCTCATTCGCTTCGATGACTCACTGCGAAGTTATGAAAACGAACTTTGGGTGCTTTCTCGAAACAAAGCGCTCTCTGGTAAGAAACTTCAAATTGCAGGGCCTCTGTGAACTGAGATGAGGCGGTGTCGGTTGTACCCTTCATTTGGGAGCACTGTGATTGAGATGTTTTTTTCTGGAATCCTCGACTGTAGCAGCCTTTTGTAGTTTGTAGTTCGCTTTTTTTCTCCACAAAACCAATTTCTTCCTGGCTCTTATTTCTTTCAATACTTACATCTCTGTTCCGCAATGAGTACCTATGGTGTCCCCTGAGACAGAAAGGTTGTTTGTATTGTACATCCAGTGCATAATGTTTTTGATATTGGAGGTAACACTATGAGACTGGTTTCCTCTCTGTCATTTTATGAAATCTTCACATAAGCCCTTAGCACCAGTTATTATTTGAAATAGGGACTTGAGCATAGCAGATGAGGTTATTTCCTGGGACAATATTTGGATTAATACAATTTCCTCCACAGCTGCATACAAAAAACATAACTATAGAATGAACCACTGCAATTCCTTTCTCTTCAGAGAGTGTATTTAACCCCTTGTAGATGGCATATCACAAAGATATTCGTAATGGGAAAACATTGGTTTTATTTAAAAAAAAAATGCATGACTTCTCAGGTAATAATTTAAGGTATTGTTTTGACGTAAATACAGTATGTACAGTGTGCTATGCAGAAGAATGATTGGTTTAGAAGACAAAGCATGACAAATATTCTGTGAGATATTTCTGTCTGGCTGTTTCACTGTTGTTCTGTTCAAAAGTAAATCTGAGTGTCAGAGCCCATTTGCAGTAGAGGGGCGATACGATATGCTGTTGTGTTTCACTTCAGGAAATATCTATCCTTTTAGCTACAAACATCCCATTTTGTGAGGGATTGTACAGTAAGTGCCTGGTCCAGGGTATAAGAAACACGGAGAGTCTTGTGAACAGTGATATCTCCGTGCTATGATGGTGCACAAAACCTTGCCCACTTTAACTTTTGCACCATCTGCACATGTTATGCCTCTGGTTGTGTCTCAGAGGGGTCTGTGTAGCTCATAGCAAGAACGATTTGCAGGATTTGAGCAGCGGTTCAGACAGGAATATCCACAAGGGCTTGCTTATGACAACGGGGCCCTGCGCCTTCAATCTTTTTTTTTTTCTTTCTTTCATTCCCTCCTCTGTAATTGGTTTGCTCAGAGACTGCAGTTAAAGATGGATAGACCCATACTGCGTGGTGTAGTCTCGAGAATGATCTTTTCCAATTATGACAAGGCACTGCGGCTCCCAGGACGTGAAATAAAAAAGAAAGAAAGAACTGGGGCAGATTGGTGGCCAGGGCAAGTCGAGGTGTTGCAGCGGAAATTATGACATGAAGCTTATTATTTATGTGTTGAATTATTGACCTTCACACTGTAGCAGTTTGCAGAACTGTTGTTTTTAATAATTTTACATCAGTAAAACACTAAGACAGCATCGACAGACAAAATTATTTTTAAGTGCCCTCACTCCTGGCAACATAATAATGAAGTTCATTATACAATTGTGTATTATTTAACAACACCCAGTACTGTAAAAAAAACGCATTGTACTGTACCTATACAATGAACCAAAAGTGTGGCCTTGAGTAACCACAGCTTACAAGCCTGAATGGTGAGCATGCAGCATGAATTCAGCAAAGAATTAAGCACAAGCTGATCTGATCATCTTTAGCAGAGGGGCGTGCAAGCTCAGTGCCCCTGTCAAGGTGAAGAGAGCTTGGAAGTCTCAAGGCAGAGGGAGATGTCTCTCTACAGCTGTTGAGTCCGTAGTAGGAAGAGTATCCAGGAGTTTGGTGCAGGTGGTGGAAGTGGTCTATCGGTCTGAGATGTTGTAGCCCAGATAGGTTTGCAAATGTTAGCATGGCATTGGGCCTCTCTAACTCATTTGGGTTTTTGCAGCTAATTGTTCCCACTATCAAGCCACTTCAGCATGGCTGGGTTAGTAGTTCTTGGCTCCTAGAACTCTTTGTGTAAAGAAGCGCCTCCTGTTCTGTTTTAACTGCACTTTCAGCCAGGTCAGGTTGTGTTCACTGGTGGCTGATGTTGACGTGCACAGAAGGACTGCATGCACAGTAAAAAAGGGTGAAGGATTACAGCTCTTCATCATCTTAGATGCTGGGCTGCCTGCGGGGCTGTTCTAAAACATGGAGGCATTTTTTATTTGCATTATTTTCCATAAATGTCAAGAGCGATGTCAGTTGTGACATCCGACACAGCTAATACATTCTAATTCCTGCAGTGAGAATATGCACCATTAGAGATGCTTAATATTTTAATATACATTGTTTTGCATCCTGCAAAAAGATTTTATTTATATTCTTGTTGGTTATCTTTTGAAAAATACATTCATGGACTACGTTAACAAAGCATTCCTACCATAATAACTGAAGACCTCTTTTTGTTCCTGAAAAGGAGACAATGCTATAAGGTTTTACAATGCTACATACAGTATTTCTGTGTGCCAACTAATTAACATGTATAGCCAGTTCAGACACCTGTTTGGTATTGCAACATTAGGATTTTCTCCATGCTTTTAAAAAGAAGTTCAACAACCTTATGTTTACAGAAGTTGCAATATACAGATGTGTACCTCGTAATTTCCAGGTGATCTCTTTGGGAACTTTGTTTTTTAAGCAATAAACCCACCATGCAGTCCATTCCCCAGCACAGATGGAGGTTAATGGTATTAACATAGAGACAGCTGTTCTGGCAGTTCCAATCAATGCTGAAATTATTAAAGCAATATAATATCATTGTTCTGAGAGAAATGTTCTCACTCTTCATAGACACAAATCTCATGGAGTAGAAGATTGCTTGCAGGGACTGTTCATGCTGTCTGAGTATGTGATTGACATATATTAATGTGGAAGCATTGCAATTAATTTAAATCATGACCACATAAATAATGGTCTCCCGTGGGGATTTTTAATGAAGTTTGCTTCGTGTGCTTGTTCAGTGCTTAAAACAGTATAGCAGGGAATGGTTCAAGACCTGCTTTGAAGTTCTGCATTGACACAGCCAGCAGTTTTTCCAATAATGCCCAGTACTGTACGTCTGCCGATATTTAATTTCTCATATCTTGAATTGTCCTTTGCTTATTCCTGCACACTTTGCCTTTAACGGTTTCCCCACAGAGAATCACAAGGATTTGGTTTAGGCGAACAGGTCGACAAAGACAAACCGTAGAGAAAGTTTGAAAAAGGATGATTTGAAATTGCTCATGCAAAACCAAAACATCTTGGAAGATTTCAGGGGATGTTTGATCTGTGCAGAGTGAAACAATATGTCTGTTCCAAAGTTACAACCCTCACATACAGGTGGGGAACTTTCAATATGTTAAGAAAAATGACTGAAAGAAAGGATCAGATCTTTCTTTTAGGTCCTATGTATGAATTCTCAGATGTGATGTAATACCAGTTCTTGCGTGCCAGGACTCTAATGGGTATATGGCTAAATTTAAATACTCAACATATGAAGACCTAGAGCAGTGTCAGCTTAGACCATTTGGTATTTGATTGAGTTCTATTATAATCATCATGGGTAGAATGAAAACCAGGACCATTGAAAACCAGACTGGTCTAGACTTTCTGCCCAACCATTTTGTTTATACAGTAGTTCCCCTTTTCTTCTAAAGAATTTAGAAGCAAATGCTAACAAATACACCATTCCCTGATTTGGAGCAATGAGTAATGTTCAGAGTACGCAGTAAGTGGTCTGTGTTTTTTCTGTTTGAAAGCTTTAAATGCTCATGGAATAGCTTCAAACCATAAACATGCCTGCTTATCTGCTGCGAGTATTACACCTGTGTTTTGTGATATTCCTTGCCTGAGGCCAAGCTTATTAGTTTGCACTGATATTCCACATTATGGTGAAAAATGCTGTTCCAAACTCATATCTCTCTTGACAGATTTTACACAACTGCATAACTCTTTATGAAAGATGTGCTGCTCAGGCTTTAGGACATATTACATTCACCTTCGTTAAATCCAAGCCCTTCAGCGTCACCGTCCTCCATATTTTATAGATCTATTTAATTCATCACCTTCTTTAAACTCAGGGAACAGCACAAAATAAGAGAGCAGGAAAAATGCAATGAAACTGTTTTCTCCTCCTTTTTGTAGGTACATGTAGGTTCAATTTATGATGTTCCAGGATTAAGCAGATTGGACAATCTGTCATACTAAGCAGCCACAATAAAGAGTACCATGTACACAATCTGAAAGCCGCCTTTTTTAGATAAAATAAAAAAATGAAACTGTGGAAAAAATACTAATACTTTATTAATAATATTTCTGGCAGAGTTTTGCTCTTGAGGAATGACTTGAGGCATCTCCCCTCGCTCAAGAGTCTGCACACATTACTTCATTTTTCTAAACATAATCCAACAGAGCGTTAAATATCTGCCCATGCATATTTACCAACAGCTGCTGCAAATAAGAAAGAAAAAGCATATTGTCTTAATCAGTATTAAGAGTAGCATGTAGGTGTGGTCTTTCGTATTGTTCCTGTCTCTCCAATGGGTGCCTAAAACTGGGGTTCTCAGGTTTGGACCTAGGGTACCACAAATCTCCTGGTTTTATTCCTGAGCACTCAATTAAATTTGTGAATACATTTCCCAGGACCAGGATTAGGAACCTCTGGAAGCCCTTAGACTCTTGGTTAGCTGAACTCTGCTCCATTCACTTTTGCCTTTCTGGGGAACTTTTGGGAATGAAGAAGCATTTACAGTAATCATGACATGCTTCTTTACACATTCTTACTGAGTAATGCCAGAGCATAAAGCCAGGTCAACCATCTCACATTAAGTGTGTGAGCAAAATTGCCTCTACTCTTCCACAGGGGGCAGAAGAGCCACAACTAGCACGAACATCTGAATTTCACCTGATGCTATACTTTGCTCATTGATCCTCTTCCCTGGGGGATCAAGGGCGTAAAGTTGAAGAGCAGTGCTGTCGCTCCGCCGACTCCTAAGGTGGTGCTGTTTGGCAGCAGGGCGAGAGGCGGCCA